CCCCCCCCCCCCCCCCCCCAAGCCACAAATCAAGAATCCAGAGGGTTAGCCAATAATCAAAAGCAAGAAGGGAAAAAGGTTTACTCCTGGGGACGTTGTGAGGGCCGTAAATCCACAGCGACGGTAATGTGACTGCTTGAGTGGTCTCAGCACTCAGTAAGAGCACGATGTCATCTGTGATGAGAGCAGCACAGAGTGCATGTGCTGTGATCAATAATCTCTGTGTGATCAGAGGGAACTGTGGAGATGGGTACTACCTCTGATGACTTACAGATTTTAACTTCTTGGAGCAGGAAAAACTAAATCGGAGCAGAACAATTATAGAAAATAATAACAAGGGTTTATGTCCTGTCAGGATTCTTTAAAATCCTGAAAGTTTGTGGCTTTTAGGAAAATAAAATAAAGCTTTTAAAGAATCGATGACCTTTAAACATTTTTCAGAATTAAAGCTTTGCTCCACGAGGACGCGTTCATCCTCAGATCAATAATCCACATCCTGGTGATCTCTTTTAAAAGGAGACGTTATTGACTTCTGTGATGTTTGACTTTTACAAATATTGTGTCCTCCACTACATTTCAGTTCTTTAGATCTCACCAGAGCCTCGAGGATAAATGAGAAAGAACCTTTATTTTGATGTGCGGCAGGCTGTTTATTAATGACTAATCTTTCTTCACCATTAGGACGGACGTGTTTTAATCTGTGCTTGTGTTTTCTATCCATGCAGCTATGCAGTGACTGTGCAGGAGTCTTACGCTCATCCATTTGACCAGGTCTACTACACCCGCTGCACCGACATCCTCAACTGGTTCAAGTGCACCAGACACAGGTGTGTGTTTCACCATCCTTAAACTATTAACACAAGAATTAGTCCATCAAATGTCATAGAATTAAGGCAAAATGACCAGGATTGACGCATTCAAGAGCTCAAATGAATCAGAACATTTTAAATATATTCAATTTGATGTGATACAGACAGAGAAATGGGGCAGATTCTCCCGCTCAGAGGCGAATTCACGGAAGTGTTGCGCATCTTTTTGCATTAGCTGGCCCTCCACAAATAAACAGAAAGAAACCGTGTTATTCTCAAAGCACCTGCAGACGTGAAAATCCACCGCAAACCGCATCTCAGTGCTGCTGTGCTGGTTGAACTCTTTTAAATGAGGTGATGTGCAGCAGACGATTGGTGCCGGATTGTTTACCTTTCTATGCAAAACAGACCAACTCACAAAGATCAGCGCTGAGAGACAGTCACAGTGAGATTATGTGGTGACTAAAACACATTTACACTGACAGACATTACATCACAAACTCTGTTACCTTTAAAGTCCTTCTGAAGTTTTCTTCTCAACATTTCATTTGTCGTTTTTTCTCTCGTTCTGTCTCTACAAAGAAAACATTTATATGGGGTCAGATCAGTCTCAATAATTGCAAATGCACGCAGAACGATTCACAAATACATTCCAATGCACACATAAATAAATTACGATTTATATAAATGTAAAAAAAAATCACAAATATATTTCTGCATTTGTATGTATTTCTGTGTGGATTTTTTACATTTGTTTGTGGATTTGTATGCATTTGTTTGTGGATCGCTACACATTTCTTTGTGGATTTTTGAGACTCCCCTGACGTCGCTGGATTCGCAAATGCGAATCCAGCACTTTTTTTCAACATTCTAATTGTCAACCAATCACATGAGCGCAGCACTCATCAGTGACATCTTACCATCTCTGAACTGGGACAGACTGGTTTTTGGTGCTTTAAACTTTACTGCATAACATTTATTCAGCTGATGCTTTCATCCAAAGCGACTCCCAAGTGCATTCAACCACGTGGGTACAACCCAAAAAACTGCGAAAGTCTCAGAGACATTTCAAGTCTCTTCGCGTCTCAAACGCAGTCTGTCAAACTTCTGTTGCTGGAGCTCCGTCAGTCACCAGAGTCTACTACCCAACGCCGGCAGTTCAGCTCCGTCTGATGCGGTCGTTTTGATGAGCGACCGTCGGCGTACCGGCTTTAATGACCACATTAAGCTTTATAGCCACCAGTTTAGCTCCTCCGGCTAAGAGCTGAGTCATTGATCTTAAGATGAAATGTCAGACAACAGCCACCGCCCTTGAATGACTGGGAGAAACTCCCTTCAAATATGTAAAGGTGCGATGTGTAACATCTGGCCAACCTGCTCCAAACAAATAGTGGGCAGCGTTTCACCTCAACTACCGAGGTCCATACAATCTACATTTACAGCCATCAGTTATAAAAGAGAAGAGAAACTACTAACCAACCAAACTGCTGAAACTCTGAGAGACTGTCTTATAATCTCCACGTGTGGCATCGGCTTAAAGTGAGCGTTGATAGTTTGTTTTTGGACTAAATCATATTATAGTTTTGTCCTGCACGCCATCAGGAGACTATTTTGCCGGCAGGAGAGCGAGCGACAGCTCCGGGAGACGTTCGGTTAGCGGTTAGCGGTAGCAACTCAAATTCAGCCAGTCTGTCCCTGTTCAGAGTCACTGATGACCTCTGACCTTTTCTAATAACTCACAGTGGTGAGCGCGATAGCGGCCTCGAGTAATGAATGGAATGGTCTTTAAATGGCGGCCAGTGGTTGTGGCTAAGTGGATTGCAGGGCCGTCCTTCAATCAGAGGATCGGCGGTTCGATCCCCGGCTCCACTTAACCCCGAAATGTCTCCCGTAGCTGTGCCTACGGTGTAGAAATGTGATAGAATCTGAATTGTAAGTCGCTTCGGATAAAAGCATCGGCTAAATGACTGTAATGTAATGAAAAACCCCAACGCCCAGAGTCACAGTGGGCTGGTGGAGCGCTTGGTGGAGCGCTTGGTCTAACCGGTTTGCTGATCAGACCCCCAGTGATGCGGTTTGCACTGGCTGAATTCGAGTTGCTACAGACGCTGCCTGGAGGTCCAAAGTGGTCTCCTGGCGCCGTGGAGGACCAGAGAAACATACAAGTCGTTCTTCTGGTTTCCTCCTCTTTGTATTTAATCCGATAAACAAACTATCTGCACCTTCAACGTGACAGAGCTCAGCTTCTTCCACCTCTCGTGGATGCTACAGTGACTCACTACCTCCTCTCCAGGTCACAAGTGGTATTACAAGACAGGACGGGCCACGGCTAGCTGCTTAGCATGCTAATTCCAGGAGATAATCTCTGCCACACAAAACATAGAAGTCTTTGACATAAACGTCAACACTGCAACCTCAGTCTGTTGATGATTAGTTAATTTGTCAAAAATGTTTTTAAACTAAAATTCTGCACGGATCTCACAACCATTGCACCTTTAAGTGTCTCTCACTATTCAGAAGTATCGTGATGTTTATGTTTGTTTTTATAATGCAGCACCACAAATGCAGTTGTATTATTTTAATGGACTTTGTGTGTGTGTGTGTGTGTGTGTGTGTGTGTCTCGTGTACAGGATCAGCTACAAGACGGCGTACAGAAGAGGTGTGAGGACGATGTACAGGCGGCGCTCTCAGTGCTGCCCAGGCTTCTATGAAAGTGGAAACCTTTGTGTTCGTAAGTTGCGTCGATTCCTCTTTTCTCCTTTTGAGCTAAACACGATTATTTATGAATACAAACTAGACAATAAGATGATGTTGTGCATAATTGTAGTCTTTAACAAATAGGGTTTGTTCAATTGTATGATAAAGATCATTTAATTGCTCTTTAGAATTTCTGCTTCTTGCTCGACAACATGAAGCAAGTACGACAAGTACAGCAGGCTGCTCATTGCAGAATCTAAAAAATACGATATTAACATCCGGTTTTATTGCACACGTATAGAGAAGTTTCACTAATGATCCGCTCTCTAACGCACTCAAAGAGAGGAAGGTGGTGCATCATGAGCCTTGTGGTGTTGCTAGGATTGTGTTTGCAGCGCGAGTGTAAGAATGTGGACCAAATCAACTGAAAGACCGCTGCTAACACTACCTACATTTACAGCTGCATTCATCATTATTATTGTATTTCTTTGTGGTCACATAAAGGCAACGAAACAAGCTAAAAACACAGTCAGATAGCGTCTAGATTTCTCATTTCGAGTTGTGTCTCCATCCACCTGACAAATTCAACATGGCTTTCTTTTTAGCTTTGGTTTGGGTTCATTTCCTTCATGCGCTCGTCTCTGAATGTGTCTGCTGTCTACAGCTCAGTGTGTTCATCCGAGCTCTCTCTCTGGAAACGAGGCTGGCTGGAGAACAGTTGTGAATGTGTGAACCAAAACAATTAGCTCAATGTGTGTGTAGAGACGAGAGGAATGATTCTCTGTGGGTTCGTCACTACCAACCCACAGTTTTTGAAGGCTAAGCGCTAACAAATATGGACTGAAGCAGATATTTTCTCAGATAAAGATGATGGAAATGACGCATATATACATACATGATTCGTCTGTCTTTTATAAATACTTTTGGACTTTACAACGCGGTGGAGTTTCTGAAAATGTTTGGATCACATGAGTCTGAAACAATCGCAGCCACAGCTGGAATCTATCATTTTACATACAGTACAATATTACTACTATTAATGAAGCCTGCTCTCTATCTGCAACTGTGCAGAAACGTAATCAATTTAACAAAAAAGAAGCTGCTCAGCATCAAATATTGATTTTAAATTTGAATGTCAGCGTTATGAATGAAGCTTCCAACTATTCGCTGAAGCAGACACACAGTTAACTCATCCATCGCTTTCAGAAAAATATTGATTTGTGCAGTTTTTAACAGTGAACAGCAAACAAACAGATGTGTCAGATGTGTCTAGTTATAATAGATGTAACGAGAAAACAAGGCACTCGTGGCAGCCAATCACAATAGAACATTCTCCATCACCGTAGTTTAATGAGACGTGAACCCAAAGAACTGACATAACTCACCTTCTGCCCAGAAGAAAGTAATAATCCACATTTAATCGTCAGCGTATAACAAATGTATCTTATGACCACTTTGCTTCTTGTTAAGTTCTGTGCTGCTGGAAGACACACAGCTCTTCATTTTTCTGTGTAACCGACAGCAACACAGATCTGAGCTGGAGGTGTGTGACATAACAAAGATATAAAGACCGAATAAATGAGTTCACATTCGGACTGAGCGGCAATTTAGCTTTTTATTCATGAGGATTTATCACACGGGTCTCTTCTTCTACATGTGAAGGTTACGGTGTTCTTCTAATGCTGTGAACTCACATTGTGTTTGATGAAAAGGCAATAAACACAAAGCCAGCGCTGTTGTTTCCTTCAGACGGCACTAACTCCAGAATACAGAATGTCTCTGCAGCAAACAAAACCATTTTCCTCTGAATTGTTATTTTCAAACTTTTTTTTTTCATTCACTTAATACACAAAGTTTTCCAGGCTTGTTAAAATGTGCAGTGCATCTTGTGGAACAGTGATTCAATCTTAGTCGTTATCTCTTCACTTTGCGGCCGGGCAGTTATCTATAAATCTGCTGCTGGAGCTGTCAGAGGCACATCAATCCGGCTCCGGCTCAAAGTGGATCCATTGCTGCTCAAAGTTTTAACACAGAGAGCTTTGAAATCAGCATAAACAGAAGGAAAAGATAGAAACGTGAAAAGCTCCAAGCAGGTTTTGTTCTGACATGGAGTTAGATATCTCTTCACACTGAACAACCTCAGCTTCATTCTGCAGATATGTTGTTTGAACACCAGCGTGTTCTCTGGTAAACCAGCCGATGGCTTTCTTCCTTCACTTTGAGTAAAAGAGGCCGTTTATCTCTGTGCTATTGGTCCCATCGGCCTCATAAACAGATGAGCTTTATTGGGATGTGATGATCTGTAGTTGGAGAAGTTGGTCAGCGAGATAAAAACACCAATATTTCTCGACACAGTTCTTTTATTTTGAAGCTCGTTTTAAGTTTTTCTTTCCTCAAAGCCAAAGAAAAACACAAGTCTCACATCAGACATCAGATGATTAGTCGGAGCAGATGAGACGGCAGATGTTCAGTCAGAGATACGACACAAACCTGTGACTCTTTATCCAACTGTAAACCAGCCTTCAGCTGCTGTTCTTAATTGTCAGAGAAGCACTTCTCTCACATATCTATTTATCTCATCACATCTGATACGACTCACAAACCGTCCTCAGACTATTAGAACGGTTGATTTAGGCTGTTTTTTATTGGGTTTTATCTGCCGCTGTGTCTGTGTTTTTAATACTCTGAGCTGCTTGGACACGTTAACGTACTTTAGTTGTTGAGTTATTACCGACATCCCTTAAACATAACGTTAAAATGTCAACAATGTTGTTTTGTGTTATGCTCCGTTAATCTGAGCTCAGAAACTATTTATCTGAGAGCTTCTCTTTATGAATTTATGCACATAAATGATGCTTTTTCTCCATGACTGCTGGGCTCATGGTGACATAGTGGAGTATATATTATACTGAACTGTTGTTTTTCCTCATCAATACTTTGAATATTACGTAGCGAAAGAAATTGCGTGATCAATCAGTCACATTGTGCTGAACAGGTTAAGTTGTATTGTTATATCTACTAGAAGGCTCCATTGTCGGAACCAAGAAGACAAACTTTATTACTCCTTTCAACCTCGACAAAGATAAATATCCACTTCTTCTGTTCTTACCTTTCACAATAAAAGCCCTAGACATGTGATATATATCCTAGGCAAGTATTTCACATTTAGGTGCTGTGTATTCGTCAAACTCCCGCTGTGTGAAGGCCTTTAGGCCTCGTCTGCACCTGTACAGATGTTTTGGCCTCTCGTCCACACAAACAGAGATTTAGAAAACGCCTTCTAAGGTGTAGATTTTTAAGAACTCTGTTTACTTTCTTCCTGGCTGGACGTGTAAAGTCACGTCTTAACATAACTGAGGGTTTCACTTCAACAACAACCAACAAAGATCAGTGAAGCAGATCTGAACTAAACCTGCAGACTCTGTTGGTTTGTGGACTGATGTTTTGAAGCCTCGAGTTCGGCGTTTTGGCCGTCGCCATCTTGGCTTTTTGCAACCAGTGAACAGGAAGTGACCATATCTGGACTGAGGAGGAGTGACGTAGAGACGCCGTATATACGTCTCTGGTAGAGACCTGTCAATCACCGTGTAGCCCCGCCCTAAAGCGTCCCCTGCTTTATGGTCTGTGTGACTCTAAATGGACCATAATGTACTAAATGAACATCATGCTGTATTGAAGAAGACTTGAAACTAGAGATTGAGACCATAAACTCATGTTTACCATGTTTACTGAGGTAATAAATCAAGAGAGAAGTAGAGTCATCTTCTCATAGACTTCTATACAACCAGAGGAGTCGCCCCCTGGTGGACACTAGAGAGAATGTTTTTCTAAATTAATTGTATTTTTTTCTCACAAAATTCTAAAAAGGGACCAATAAGAGTATCAACAAGGAACCGAACCGATAGTGTATTGATGAGAGTACTGCATCGATAATATCCTAACAATAACCATCCCTAGAGTAGACGAGGCCTTAAAGTTCCACAGAGTTCTTAGTTCCTCCAAAGCACAGCTGCGGTGAACGTTGGTCCATGCCGGTACAATATTTGCGTCTGACTTAAATGTGTTTTTTTCACAGACTCCACAGGAAACGTTAGTGTTCAGCGTCTCACGGAGAAAATAAATGCACTTGTATCTTGAAAGGACACGTAAACCTCTGTCCTCTTTCATTTTGCCTCCAGCCAGTTAGATTTAGTGTAAGCACATCGGCTGTTTAGTGTGTAACGGGATTAATCTTCACAGAAATGTTCAGGCTCAGACTACCAGCTGGTTTTCATGTGACAGCGGTTGAAGTCTTGTTGGCAGTAAAATAAGATTCTTATGCTCTTTAGAGAACGAAAAAACAACAACAACATTCTCTGTTCTGTCCGTCCACCTGCAAGCAGTGAAGCGAAATATCATCATTCAAACCGGACAGAAAACGATGTTTTGTGAGAGACGGAGAGAATTTCTTCCCTTTCCTACCCGGTCGTTATCTCATGCCGGTATGCCTTCCCCGATCCGGCAAAGAGAAATCAATTATCCACCCTAGATGGTAAATTGTATGGGGCAGTGTTGCCTTTTCTTATTGAGGAGAGAGGAGCTGAATGGCTTTTCCTGAGGGGGTTGAGGAGGGTGAATAGGAGCGCATTGTGTGTCTTTATTCAACATCTGCTTGTAAACAACTTTATTAGATTCCCCCGGGGGGGAGGCCGAGACAAATAACCCTCGACTCTATAGTGTAGCTCGCTCCATCGCACAAACGCACGCACACGCACGACCTCGCGCTCCCGTTGGTCGAATAGTTTGAACGCCGGAAGCTAATTCCTCAATGTTAACTAGACGCCTGCCTGGCTGGCCAACGTTAACGGGCTGGGACAGGTCTTTTGTTGTGTGTTATACAGACTGAGCTAATTCAGGGTGTGTGTGTGTGTGTGGGGGGGGGGGGGGGGGGGGGGG